AATCTGACAGTATCGCGCCCACCAGCAAACGTGACCCTTTTTTCTCCCAAAGGATTTTATGTCGTGGTTTGTTTGCCAGCCAAACGCAGTGCGAACAACAATTAGACAAACTGAAGTTGGCTGTTGGAATTCATGGGCCTTCCGTCGGCGGAAACCATACAGGTTCGTATGTAGGTGTGTCGCGTTCGGTAAAATAGCGATTGAGCGGAATAATTCTGAAAACATTGACTGCCATATCGATTAGTCTGATACCGTTATAGTCCGCTCAGACGGTTTTATCGCTGTTTTTGATACACGAAGCGGGATGAATGCCGTCCATTCTTCTGGGAAATTTTAGTATCCCAGATGCAATGGAATAGTATGGTCAGGAGGTGGGGAGCTAATATACTAGGCAAACAGACTTTAAATCGATTGGTTAGCGATGAGGCGCCTGTCCGTTTTATTCATTGTGTAGGGACTGAGTCGCGGTTCAGATATCTGTCTGTGTGTGTGTAATGGAAACTCACAGCCCACCCGTACAATTCACATCATGGCACGAATGTGCACTTCTACACACACAAACTCTCTTTAGGCATCCGAGAGTTTTCATAATATCATCCCAGAATCATTTGACTGTAAACCAGTCTTGAGATAATTTGCCCGTAGTAACCCTGAAACGTCGAACTATTCTCTGCTTTCCGTTAACGCTGGTATTGAGTATTAGTCATATTAAACTTTTCAGAAGTATGCTGTTTTTAACCATGTTTACCTACCGTCAGAGACTGATATTTCAACTATTTTACTTTATAAGGAGAGTACAGATCAGTAGGAGCAGGCGTCTGTTTTCACGCGTGCGTTTGGAAAAGTCTGGGAATCAGTCGTTGCGTGGTCTGGTCCCTCAACCGCATGTTCTATCCATATCTCACACAGCTTTCATTTCAATCATCCCATTACAGCTAGGAACTTTTCCGAATAACACACGTCTAGTGATAACTTTTTTTCCAGCTTCAACATCTCCCGTGGTAATTTATATTGCTCTCTTAGTTTAGTACCAGTTCGTTTACTGATCAACACAAAGTTACTGCCCAACGACCAGGCTAAACTTGCGAGATGCAATGGCGCAGAACGAAAGGACCTAATCGGGCGCGAATTCAAATCAACTTTGCTTTAGAGGAGCTGTGGTTTACGTGACCGTGTTGTCATTCTTGGTTCGACGGTTACGGATTCGTTTGACACAGAATGATGGCGTGTTTGCACATATAGAGACACTATAGAAGCACTATAGAGACAGACACGGTACGCTTCTGAACCGAAGAAGCATATACCGTTTGTTTTTAAAACCTGCAAGCGGCTAATCTGTCTTTTCAATATTGTTGTTTCGCCAGGGTTCGAAGTACAATTACGGAACGTGATATCTTCGGCGCACTTGATAAGTGGAGATTGGAAATGATTCGGTTTGACGAGTAACACATGAGCGGAAGAAGAATAGCAGTGACACAACGGTTTCTTGTACAACGCACTGTTGCTGAAAAGCAGTAGTGGACAGATTTGGTAGCGCTTTATTCACGGTAAAAAAATTCTAAAACTACTTTCATAAGTGAGCACCGATTTAATATTGAGTGTCTCTTGCAGATAGAATAAGCATTAGATTTTTCCTGTTTATACCATTGAACACATCACCGTATTATCGAACAGTAATACTGTTCTGTTTATCTTTTTCGCGGATTAAGCGAACAAACTAACACACTCGAAAATTCTTCATTATAAAATTTGTAGCGGGAATGGTGATACAGAAACCGGTTAAGGTTACCATTAGTTGGAATTTTTTTCTTACTTTCGAAGGGTCCATTGAGAAATTTTCATGGATGGAAGACATTCTGGACCATTTATTACGATGCGTTTCCACTAGCTGACTGATGCATTTCTACTTTCCGGTCTAGTCTTCACAGAAAGGCAACAGAGTCCTACCTTCACCAAATAAAAAGAAAATGTATAGAACCCGAAGTTGCAATAATGGGTCAAGCACAGTTTGCTTTTGACCGGAGTATGCTCTCCATCACTGCACGCATTTTAACGATGGCTCGATTTCACGATACAGCTTCCACAGATGCATCTTTTCTATGAGAACCTACGCAGCGTCATTTTCAGGCTTCTTCTTAAACGTCTTGCATAACCGGTATTGGTGGGGGATTATTTCCAATTTAGTTACCTGTCTGTCAGAGGAGTCATGTGCTTTGTTTGATATGTGAAACAGTGGAAAAATTATTTACCAGAAAACCTCCCGCAGCGAGCAGTGTAACCGATCAATCCGAAAAGAAGTCCGAATTACCACTGAGCAGTTGGTTTTTTGGTTGTTCTAGGATTTATTCAGGTTAACTCCTTGTAGATATCTGTAGGAATCTATTCATTTTGTTGGGTTACTCAATGATCCTACTTGATGTTGCTTGTTCTTTTCCCGGGAATTTCTGCAGCTGAGAATTGTGCCCATGGGTGGCAAACTAGCTGTAGACTGCATGTGCGTAATAACGCACAACAATAATTGGTCAATTGTTGAAAACGGTTATCTACAGGTTATTCTGTCTGCTATGCGACGCACTTTACAATATGAATGTACTCTGCAATGTTATGACAATCATCCAGTGAGTGCTCGAAAAAGGGATAGGTTTCATCGATAATCCCCTATTCTTGACAATTATACATGAGCGTATACAGGCCCATTGACTCAGTTTTCAGTTAAGCGTCGTTCTCGTTACGATCTTTCTCACCTTTATCTGGATGATTTGTGCCTCAGACTTAATTTTGTGCTACTCCGTAAACGGCTTGATACTAAAGCCACAAAACTATGTGCAATATGTTTATTTGGTGGACTCTGTCTTCTCCTTAACCGGTTTCAAATAACTTCGCTCTCACACGCACACACTCGTGTTAGCTATCATCTCCAACTCAGTAGGTCACTTTTGGGGTGGAACGGCCCGATAAGGACCTGATTGTACTGTCCACTTGCATGTGTCTGCCGATTCCATTTCTAGTTTGCCTCGATGTATCACTGATTACTTGCAAATATAATGCTTGATTTTATGACCATGGGATTTTGGATTCCGATGCTTTGATCAGTCCATCGGAATTACTTCTTTAAGGATGGTTATTCAGAAATAGAAACGTGATCACACCTATGAAATCTATCACAGGTTTCGGTCCAGTGTTGTTTCTTAGTGGAGGTCTTATCCTATCTGTACAATCTCGAGGTTTTAGGTACCATTATTGACAACCACTTATGTGTATCATCCTCGCGATGAAGTTTTTCTCAAGATGTGCTACCATACTGTGTTGAGGGTGGTTGATCGAGTAAAACATATGCTGCCGAAGTAAAACCAGTGCAGCAGGTTCTTCTCTCTTCCCTCGGTTAATGTTTTGCATTTTCCATCTCTGGTAAAATTTGGATTAGTTCGCTAACCAATAAAAGCACATAGCGAGTGAAGGGCTAGGCTTAGTTCATCTCAGTTTGTACAACCATTAACCATGCGCCTTTGTGCACCGGTTTTGTTTACTGTCTTTTGGCTACCCATTGGAATGAAAGAGTAGGGAGAAGATTGGAATGTTGAGAGTATTGTCAAAGAGAAAACGGAGCATTCTGGTAGACTGAGATTACAAATAGATAAATAATATGCACGGATGCCACTGTTGGTGACACTCAGTGTCTCCAACCATGGGTTACACTTATCCCAAGGGTCTCTTCTAAGGAGCCTAACGCGACCTGTATGACCACTGTCCCTTGGTCGCGGTTTTCATATCATCATTCCATGTCTTAGATTGAAACCCCCCACTCTTATTCTAAACTTAAACTGCCTCAGAAGACATCGCATGCCGTTACAATCTATTTTGCGATATGTGTAACACGCTCCAGCCAACACAATCTCCCGTATTTTTACACAAGGCTGCAGGCTTATCTTCAGTTATGCTAAATACCCGTGCGCTGACATATTCCGTGAACCATGCGTCATGTTTATTGTTGTTAAATACCATTTTGCACATCAGAACATTTTCTCAAATAACATAAATTAACCACACGGACCCCCATCATGATCCTCGCGAAGGCATCACTTCCTCTCGCCTGTTTGATACTTTATTTTGTGTGTCGATTGTGAAAAGTAACTGCCTCGACAAGTTTTCCTTAGAATTCACCGGACTCCATCGAATGAGCTTCTAAGACAAGGTTAATTGTTCAAATAGTTGTTTGTCACATTTGAAGTTTCTATGTGGATTGTGAAAAGTTCAGTAGCCTCGGTGGGATTCGAACGCACGCATGGACACCGCCCACGCTTTGTACGCGCATGCTCTACCAGCTGAGCTACGAGGCCACACCGATAGCACACATGATCTTTTTCACATTCGAATTTACCCATCCAACTTACAGAGGCATGTGGCGTTCACCAGTTAGCAGTTAGCAGTCAGCTTACATGCTAACTGGTGAATGCCACATGCCTCTGTAAGTTGGATGGGTAAATTCGAATGTGAAAAAGATCATGTGTTCTATCGGTGTGGCCTCGTAGCTCAGCTGGTAGAGCATGCGCGTACAAAGCGTGGGCGGTGTCCATGCGTGGGTTCGAATCCCACCGAGGCTACTGAACTTTTCACAATCGACATACTTCAAATCTGCCAAACAACTATTTGAACTGTATGTTGTGTTATACTTATGTTTCAACAAAAGTCCATCTTTCTTCTGCCACAACATATTTATTTCATTTTCTCAGTAAATGCAGTTCAATCTCCTCCGAAATAACAAATGCACTCCTTAACTAGTGAATTCTTGTGATCACGTGAGCGGTTTGCAGAAGGCGTTGACACAACTAGTGCTCGCTCATATTTTTTCATTGTACAATGTGCTACTTATTCTGTTACTCAGTAGTAAAACTTGAAAGCAAAGATTATTGATGCATCATCACTTTTTCGCATACTATGGTCGTCCCTCGTCGTTCTACCTGTCAATGCATTCCATTCCTTCCTGTTTTCACGTGGATCAGATATGGGCTTCACCTTCATTTCCAGTCGCGAGAGGATAGAAGATCGAATAAGTCGTCTGCTGCTCTGCTTCCAGTATCCCAAATGGAACAAGCAATTGAGTTACGTTCTCCTGGATCATCTGGTTACTGCTCTATTCCCGGAGTTGCAAACCAACGTGGATCCGAAAGCCGAGATAGAAGCGCCATAATAATAGTCTCTCACGCTGAACCGTGTCCATCGTTTTCGCCTGTGCTTTTTTCCGTTGTCAAAATTGTCACTGTTGACCTTGTTGTCATTGACGCAAATCTCCCAGATCCGGTATCTTCTGTCACAGGATGTTTTTACTTCGACCTTCCCTTTCCTTCTGCCGCATTGGCGCCGTTGCTCGTGGACTGGCCTTTCTCTGTCTTCAATGTAAATATGTATACATAATTCTTTCGCCTGTGACTGTACTTCTTGCCGCTATCTCCTTTTGGAATGTGTATCCCAGCTCCGCTCATTTTGTGGTTCTGTATTCAATATTTCAGATTTCATCTCATTCATGTCGCATCTCGATATACTTCAGGGCTGATTCTATCGGTTCGTCCGTTTCAACTGTTCTTGTTGCACTCATTTATTTTTTTCATTGTCTTTCCTTTTTGCACTCTAAACGAGATGAAACATGTCCCGTCAATCCAGGGGAGGAATTTTGGGTGAATATTTTGAGACGGAATCTTTCTTCGCCTTTGCTTTTGCTCAGAATTTCTGCTTTCGATTGCAGGTTGTGCAGTGCCAGTTTATGTTTTTGAATACATCAGCCTGGGTTTTCTCCCGCCTCTCCCCCCCCCTCTTGAATCTGTCTGCACGTGGTTTTATTCAGTCTTACCCTCTCATCCTCTAACTTACCTCTACCAACTGTGATCAGGTCCATTCCTACAGATTTTGCTTGTCCATTCACCGACCCGTTCTGTCTTGGTTATGGTCGCAGTTTTGTTTTTGGTTCTCTGCGTGTACAACAGTTTTCATTCATTCCCCGTTCTCTTGCGCCTCCTTCATCGTACTGGGCAGTTTTCCTGTCACTTTGTTCATCCGTTGTCGTTGATTTTACCGATCGGATTCCCATCAATAGGCGAATCCTTTTCCATTTCATACTGTTAGCTTCATGACTGCAGTTATCATTATCATCCTCGTCAGCAACCGCAGTATCAGCATTAGTCCACCGTGGTTCTAATCATAGTGTGTACTTGTTGCAGCGGATTTTCTTATTCTCTATTTCCTTTTCCATATCNACTCCTGTGAGAAATGAATGATCCTAGGGTGTGAAGATATAGACGTTCATTGATGATATGCTTATTTCCACACGTCCTTTTCGCTAAAAATGTGCCACAGGGTGGTCTGATTTGGGTCATCACCCGTTTTGTTCAAATAGGCAGTTTCCCGAATTAAGTCCCGATACATCGAGGGGCTGAATTTCTAGCATTTTATCAATTTGTAAACTGAAGGATTTTCTGGAAAAAGAAAATGATGTTCTAGGCAATAGAAGAAACAATAGAAACAAACTTCCTTAGGAGCGGTATTATCTCTTGTACAGTTGACGGAAATGCTAAAGAAATAAGGGATGAAAACTTACCTTTAAGTAGTTGATAAATGACTAACTGTTTTGTATGGTGTAGATATGGTGCGATTAAATGCACCTATTCCGTTAGCAATCCACATGCTTACATTTTCAAAAGGAGAGGTGTATTCCATTCATTAGTAAACACGAACACTCATCTGCGATGTTGACATTTCCGGATGAAATTTTTCATTTTCGATCTGTGCATTGTTTTTACTATGAAAATTAGAAAACTCCAGCCATCATTTAAACTGTTCATTTCACCGCTATTTACCTGCTCCGGAGTTACATGGATGTCGGTCGATTCTAGCTTTATTGATAGGTGGCTTTGCTGTCCCCCTGATAGATTCAACGTGTGAGCTGTTGAAGCTTAATTTGGTCCATTACTGTAAACCCTAGATAGCCAATTCCCATACCCGAATAGCAGGTCTCTCTGACCGAGGTTCCCCTCAATTGTCCAGTACAATAAGTTGTGTGATGCAGGTGATACGGATGGTACTGGTTTACTGGTACATGTCTGTTTATATATTTATCACCAGCTTGCAAGCAAGCTTGGTGCCAACGCAACAAAAGATACAAAACAGTTTAAAGGGGTCAGATTTTCAAGTTAAAAAAACGAGAAGAACAATTTTTTGTTTGTTTCACCGTACATTTTGATATTTTGTGTGTGAATTTATCGTTTTTTATGGGGCACGGGATTTCAACAGGCAGATCGTACAGCATTCGTGCCAGTGACTTCTATTCTGGGTTATATATCTCAGCGTCTCTAACCAACCAAAATCCTCATCCCATGGGCCCCAGCCTGAAAGGCGGGCTTCACCAACCGAAGCCAAATTTGATGACAGCTTCTTCATACCCATAAGCCATTTCATGGTTTGACCGCCACAGCGCTTCTTCCAGCCTTACCCGGCACATGCAAAGAGAACACGGAAAGGTATTCGATGGGCAGTCATACGCAATACGTGACCAAGCCATCGGAGGCAGTGTAGAGCGATTACATATGTTAGAGAACAACTATTTACATTCAACACACGACGACGGGCCTCGTCATTGCTCACCCGATGTTCCCATCAGACTCGAGCAATGTTTCGGAGACATCGGTGGTGGAATACAGAAAGTCGATTAGCATCCTCAACGCGTCTCGCAACCGTAAAGCAGAACGCTAGGAACCGCGGCGATGTACACCCTTCTCTTAAGGGACAGTCGGATGTCATGGGAGCTCCACAGGTTGACGAAAGCTGCTCTAGTTTCGCTATTTGTGACTTGATCTCCTCCCCAACATCATCAGCTGCGATCAAGCTCCCGAGGTACACAAAGCTCTCAAATACTTCCAACTGATCACCACAGATGGTGAGTGCAGGCACAGGCTCCTGTCAGTCTTGAACAAGCACTTTGTATTTAGGCGGCACAAATCACATAACATCCCTAGATACGTCGATTGCCAAGCGGTTCAAAGTGTATTGAACTGCCTGTGTGTTGTCACCCAGCAAAGCGATGTCCTCGGCATATTCTAAGTCAGGGACTCTGTTCCCTGGGAGGAGTTCAACTCCATCGTTTGCTAGATAAATCTTTCTGTTGAATATCCTCTATGATCAAGCTGAAAAGGAATGGGGATATAGGGCAGTGTTGTGTCCCAGGTTAAATAGGTAGATAAGCTCGAAGTGTATTAAGCAACACGTTTATTGTAGACGGCAAATGGCAAATGGGCAGCCAAAACCGGCGCACGAATATGCGTGGTTAATGGTTGTACAAACTGAAACTGAGACGGCAAATATGTAGCCGGTTCATAGACCGGTGTGCAAGGGGAAACGGACAACACGTAAAAGGCAGGCCGAAACAGGCTCACACACCGTCAAGCCGGCATTGAAAAAGTCAGCAAATCAATCAATCTAGCTACAAGCATGCATGACAAATGCACCAGTCACCTGTGGGCCACAACAGGCAGTCTTGTCGAACTCCACTGGAGATGGTGAAAGCTGGTCATAGGCCCTACCCCGACCTGAGGTATGACGATACAACTCTTTGAAGATCGACACATACTTCTCTGGTACACCATTCCTCAACAAACAACTCCATAGTGCGGTCCTATCAACAAAATCGAAGACCGCGTTAATGTCTCAGCACAATAATTGTTGGTCTATGGTAAGCATGACGGTGCCCAAGCAGCTGTCGGAGGGTGAAGATTTGATCAATGCAGTCACGACCACCACGAAACCTAGCCTGCTCCTCACGCGAATTGTACAATCTACGAAGAATGATGGACGCTAACAGCTTTGGCGCTATTGGGATCAGGCATATATCCCTATGACGAGCGCAATGATTGCGCGGGCCCTTTATGAAGATGGGGACAACAATCGACTCCCCCCATGAGAAGGGAACCTGCTCGGTGTTCCAAACCTTAGAGAACAGAACTTATAGTTCTCTATCAAGCTTTCACTATCTTTAAATAGAGCTGGGGGAAGGCCATCGGAGCCCGGCGCTTTGTGACGTCCCAAGGCTTGGTCTCAGAGGGTGGATCTGTTGATACAGACCACAGGATGTGTGCCAGAGTAGCTGTGCGAGAAGCTGAGGCTGGTGGCCAGCTAAACTGTGCTTTGAAATGCTCCGCCCAGAGTGAAAAACGTCGCTGTTGATTATGAATAAGCGAATCGTCAGCTTCATAGATCGTTTCGCTCACATCCAAATTTTTCCTACCGGTGACTCGGATGAGATGGAACAGCTTACGGGAATTTCCCATAGTGGCAGCACGTTCCATTTCTGATGCGCGTTAAGACCACCAGATTTCGCGGTCTCTGCGTGGGCTTGGGTTGAGGTTACCACTCGTTACGAGTCACATTTTATTATGCTTGCCGCATTATAAAATAACCGAGGCGTAATGTCTGTTCGGTAGAAAGAAATTTTGGGGAGCTGTAAACATTCATTTTTGTCTAAACATGCAGGAAAACATCAAACACTTCGAATGTGATGCGGACTCCATGTGCTACACATCTAACAAGAGCAGTACAGATCGGTGTCTGCATCATTTTTTGGTGGTTTGTGGCAATAACATGTATATTTGTAACTATTTGGGAAGGTGCTCGGATATCCTTTGTGCTACAGATCGATTCTTTCTGCCGACGTAAGTGTCACTGCAGCTGAACTGATAAGCGACCAAGGAAGCAGAACTGATCGGCTGATTCTGTTTTCGTTTGTCCACAAAAAGTCTCTGGGAATACGGTATCAATCGCGAATGTGCGGCAGGAAATATTCGATACACGGCCACCTTTTTAGCTTCTGACATTCCTTTGATGATCACCCTTGAAGGCCAATCTGAGGAAGGTGCTTTTCTATGGTACTTCACAGATAGGTTCAACCGGTAACCTTCGTCTGCTTTGTCCGTCAATAAATTTATCTGGATAACTATTTTCCAGCAGCGGCCTTCGTAGAAAGGCCTCTTCTTCTTCGAAAGTGCGAGGAGAGCAGAAATTCTTGGCATGATGAAACATTTTCATCAGATTTTTTGTTTGACGCAAGAGAAAGTCCAGGAAATTTTATTTATTTTAACTCCATATGATCTTCCGGTACACGGATCGTTTGATCCAATCTGATCGCCTCTCAATTCTCATACGTAAAAC